TCGTCAGATCTGAAGCTTTGGCACTCAGGTTCAAAGCACTGATTATGAAAAGAGTAACAGATGAGAAATTATTCAATGCATGATCGTGTTTTCTTAAAATTAAAGGTAGAGCTATCCCACATATTGCTCCGGTTGTCTCATTTTCGTCAGCACAAACGTAGCTAGTTCGCCGTCACTACCAAACTAAAATGTTCCACTATGTTGCAGGGTGTATATGCCATTGGGTATGATGTGTGAACCGAGTTTGCGGACATAGTGTGTTGGGGAGGGGAAGTGAGAGTGTTCATGTGTGGGGTAATTGTATGTGTGTCAAAAATTAAGGACCAATACATGACAGATGGCTAATCATAAATCTACAATGACGAGTAAACTGTGTACATCATAGTCCACAGATAAATGTGCCTCGAACGTATATAGCAGACGGCAATCGGCGGATCAGACGACACTTGATAGTGATTTTGTATGTGAGATTGCTTTGCAAAATATAAAATACAAGAACCTCTTCCATATCTTTAAACTATCATTGATATCTGATAATTAAACAGTTAGTAAAATAAACATACCAAACTACATGATACAATGAAATACTTGACTGAAGGTAGGGGAGTTTGATGTGGTGCACAATTGCACCCCTCTGTTAATAATCGAATAGTCCATGGTGTTCACGAATATTCATGTTTTTGCTTACCTCGGCAAAATGCTTGCCTATACTAAATGCACAAATTACGGTGGGGGGGGGGGGGGTTGGCTGAAATGGACATAATGAACAAATCAGAACTGATCTATGATAATTTATGCTTGTCATCCTTCGTGTGCTTGACTTATAACCTTACAATCGAGTGGCAAATTGCGTCCAAAGTACGACTTGTTGCATATGTATAGGCAATGGCGAGCTGGCGACCTATTTTGACCAAATTACAGAGGGTAAACTTTCAAAAGTCAATGGGACATGAGGGTTCCAATGAAAGAGCTAGTAATAACGTACGTCGGGGTGGATTTTTTTTTTTTTTTTTTTTTTTTTGGGGGGGGGGGGGGGGGTAAAAGTCCATAGGCTAACATGTTTATAGGCTGCTGGACTCTGACGATAGGGGGCGTTGTCAAATGAGACTGAACGGAGCTATATGTCGCATAAGTTCTTATTAGTCATTTGATATATATACGCAGGAATCAGTTTTCATAATTCGATGTCCAAAGAAAATTTGGGCATGCTCAACTCATCCCGCACAAGCGCCGTATATATACGCCGCTTGTATTGGCATGTTCATTTGAGAAGGAGACGCTCAAAATTTGCGAGGGAAAACTGGGAACGGATATAGTGAATGCATTTTGATGAGTATAGAACGTGATATTATAATGCATCACAGTAAGCATGTAGAGTCGTTATGGGCATCACATCATACTATTTTAGTATTACTTCTCAAAAAAAATAAATTCTTTCGCTGGGGAGGCACTTTAGGCTGTTGGAAAGCTTTGGCGACATAGAGCCGTCATGATCGACCCTCTCCTGGCCAAGCCCCTGTCCCTTCAAAGGCACGGTTTTATGTGGATCAAATAAAAATAATTCACGACCCCAGTCCCCCCACCCCCTCCCCAAGAAAAAAATATAGCTTTGATTTACCTGAATACGAGTACTGTACATTGGATCTCGCAGTCTTTACTCGCTCTATACGCCCTTTCTAGCCCAGAAACGAGTTTTCGGAGAAAACCGACATCCCATTGCACATCGTGGCGACCATCACCGTACACTCCAGCTATGAATTCAAAACGAACACTCGCCAATTATCATTTGATAAAATATGAGAATGTATACTATTATTGAGATCTATAAGGAATAAATTATTGTCAAAATCATTCCATAAAATTATTCCACCTTTATGACCTACATTGTACATAAAATATATGATAAATATCGTAACCCCCCCCCCCCCATCCCCGATCTCCCAAATAAAACAACAAACTTAATAAGAGAAGTAAGAAAGGAGTAAGAAAGAATAAAAACGCACCTAACTGATGTCCTAGTTCAACCATGAAAGGACTACCTAGTCCTTTCATTCCACGGTTGTCGACTATGGCTATGTTTTCAGCAATAAAGAATGCTTCGCGGGTGAGCGTTTTAGAAGAGGCATCGCTGTACCCTTCTGGAGCAATGCTCTTCCAAAAAAACCCGGGTTTGTTCTTGTCCATGGTGGCGAAGTTCATAGAGTTGACCAAGGCCGATTTCCCAACGCCTGTTGGGCCGAAGACCCCTATCCGAAGAATATCTGGTAGGTCATTGGGCTTTTCACGTTCAAAACGGATAGTTGAGCCCGGATGGTAGCTAACAATCTGTTCCTTGAATTCATGAATCTCTTTATCAATATTACGAGACATTTTGCAACAGGCTTTTGAGTCCTTCGTTCATAAAATAAATAATGGGTAATCCCCGGCTTTCCGCGCCTGTTCAAAAGACCACGAACTAAAACTGTTATCTGATAAATATCATACATCGTAACATGCGGGAGTGTACGTCAGGGGCAAGAGGCCTCCATTTAGAGGAAACCTTACCCCAAATAGTAAGTGTAGGTATTCTGAAAAATAAGATGTATTCTTGCCCTTTAATGTACACAAATTCTTACGAAAGTGTACAAGAGATATATGAATTAAGATATTCTTGGCATGATGTAATATGTCTTTTAGCATGGCATGGGTGCAGCCATTCTCTTTTAAATATGACGTACCAGGCAGGCGCAGGTCCACGGGGGGGGGGGGGCGACGGGCCTGGCCCCCTAGGAAAAAGAACTGCTAAAAAATAAGATGTTAACGTTAATTTTCCCCTTTTTTTACAGAAAACTAAAGCGCCCCCCCCCCAGGATATTTTTCGACCCCCAACAAATCAAAATTAGTGTTACTTTCTCTCCCCCCGCTCATTCACCGGCTGGCTGAGTCGCCGTTAAATATTTTCTCACGAATTGCCCCCCCCCCCCCGTCTTTCCGCCGGTTGGATCCACCCCTGATACTAGGTCAACGTGCCTTCACCCTTCTTCCCTTTTTAACTCGACATAATTATGAAAGCCGGTTATATTTGTATCCTGAAAGACTTGGCATGCGTGACTGCGAATATGACCCTACTCAACTCCTCACCCACCCACCCACACACACACACACACACACACACACGTACAGGCACGTACAATTGTTTTGTACACGTTATTCATTTTATATTAAAAAAAAAGAATTACACAAATCTGGAGGTTATTTTTGTGGTACAAGGAACAAATTCCTGCTCCTACCTGTCCCCTTCTCTTGCACAAACACGTATTCAGGTGTAAGAAGTGCCCCATTTTCACATCTGATGATAACTTTGTATATTGACACGTGCTCCTTTTCGTTTCTAACAGGTGTCTTATCCCTTCCGAAAAGTGTCCCCTTCCTCTCATCATTAAACGTGCCCCAATTTTAAAGCGTCTCGGAGCAATTTCCCCAACAGCTTACTCGATACGCTCGCTCGCATTTATAGATGATATAATTATGTTACTTATATATCAAAGGTTTTTTCAGTCTTAGAACTCCTTACGTCTCTAACGTGACGTAAGGGTACAAATTATTGCAGCATGTCAGCACCTATTGAAAATGTTATGAAGATGTATGTTCGATTACTATTCTTTTAATACCACACTCTACGGGTAAATTACGAAAAATATCAATTAGGCCCATTTTAAGAGAAAGAAAGAGGGGCAATAAAAAGAGAAGTGAAAAGTGGGGATATGTGTTTGTAAGTTGTGGCAAGCCTGTCACGTCTATAACTTTATATTAACCTAGACGGCTTTATGATCGACCTGTTCTGCAAAATGAACACAGCTCCTGCTCCCCCCCCCCCCCCATGGTGAAATGTCCAATACGCCAAAGCTAATTTAAAAATGGATGCCTCCTCCCACGCATTAATGTTAATTTCGCACAATGGTTATTCTGTGAATACAAAATGTACATGGACTTTGATCTGGGTTTTACCCAACTCCAACCTTTATTCTCTGTGAGTTTATATAGCTGGGATGGGAGCTGGCTGTATTGCAATTAGAATGTAATCATGTTGTACGGTAACCGACGACATTGGTTTTCCCTGCCTAAATTCCCCTTTTCTCGTTCTTGTTGAATCAGTCGCAAGTATACACGGGCAGATAAAGTGAATCGAAATAGATTATCATCATCATCATCATCATCATCATTATAATAATAATAATAATAATAATAATAATAATAATGATAATGATTAAAAAGATGATTATTAATGATAATAATTTGTAATAATAGGCAAATTTAAAGCGCTTCATACTACGTTTGTAAGCGCAGTAATTATTATCATCCTGGCGATTGAACAACAGCCCACAAGACCGACAGCCGGGCTACGAGACCGATAATAAATATTGGTCGCGTGGGCTTTCTGTCTAAGCTCACGAGAAAGTCGGCCTCGTGAGCTTATGACCTCTCTCCTCGTCCTACCCTCTAAGATTTCTACATCTCTCAAATATTTCACTGATTTTCTCCTTTCACCTTCATTATTTGTTGTTCCTCACGAAAATGTCGTTATTCTTCTCCTTTCATCTGCTCTTTAAATTATTGTTTTTCATTTGTGTCTTAGATTTCTTTCTCACATATTACATAATATTAAAGAACAAGAACAATTGAGAAAGAAAGAAAGAAAAGGGAGGTGCATGGGCTGCGCCGCTGTGTGTGTTTATTTGGTGCTTATTGCTCACAATGATAATAGGTACTTTTAGATTTGCACGTCGACATACTCATAGTGGACTGCTACGTGTGAAGTAATAACGGGACGTCACACGTAGCAGTCCACTATGTCGACGTGCAAATCTAAAAGTCCCTAATAAATGTTTCATGTCGCACAACACATTAATGACTCGCATGAACGCAATACCCTTCTGCTAAATTCCCCGCATGGGTTAGAGGTCGATCTGCGCGGGGAAAACCCATTACCAAATACATAACGGAATTTTACATCGCAGAAAACGTTAGAGAAACAAAGGTTGCGAGGAAACCAATATACCTTACCGCTATTTCATCGTGTATTAACAAATAATCGCTTAATAAGTGTCTTTTAAAATATAACATTCTGGATTTATAACAAGCCACCAAGGAATATCATCAATCAATAAGGTAGTGGTGGATGAAAAGGTTCTGAGTAGAAGCTGAAGGAGAATACTTCGACAGTAAAGTTTGACATGTCTCATCGTATGGAAAAGCGAATTAATGAGCTGAGGGATGCCATATCCAACTACAGTCCAGGTTCAACATTTCGTATTGCACGAGATCGGCCAACCGAACCTCCAATTGCTCTCCGAATTGGGCTGTTCGGTCCGACGGGCGTGGGCAAGTCAGCTTTGATCAACTCCATGAACTACGCCACGGGACCGATGTGGGAAAATAGAGCCCCCGAGGGTTTCGCGAGCGAAGCTTCCAAGACCCTTGCCCGCAACGCTTTCCCGATGACGGAGAAGATTACCATGGTTGATAATCGTGGAATGAGGAGCCTTGGAGGGCCGTTCATGGTCGAACTCGGCCATCAAATAGGCGAGTTAATCATGATTTCTATTTTATTTATTTATTTAAACATCTTTATACATGATTATGTTCAGGTATACTGTTTTTCAACATAGTCCTGTAAAAAACTCGTGTTAACATTAAAAATGCAAATCACATGTGAAATGTATAACAACGTTTCAAATGAAATCATTTATTAAACTGCATAATAATGTTGACCTAAAATTGAAACAAAATAGTAAAAACTCAGAAATGTAAGTATCATTATATATAACATACTACTGTATTATACATTTTAATAAAATATTCAAAAATACGAAAAAGTACAAACGATATAAATATTTACAAAAATTAAATTAAAAATAAAACTTCTTATAAATCAATTTAAAAGTTTCAATTATTGTTTGGGCATTTTATATAAAGTGGGGAATGCCATTCCATCGCTTAGCACCGGAAAATTTAAAGGCTTGTTTAAAAATTAAGAGGTGGAATTCAGGTGGGGCTACATTAATAATAATAATTATTATTATTATTTGTTCTTTTATAGCGCATTTCATGTCTGTTGACATTGCGCTTTACAATATTATTTTACAACATACATAATTATGTAAAGTATAACACGATCATAAAAGGAAGATGAAACAAAAACATATATAGAAAACAATGAAGTGCTTACAAAAAGAAAAATTATAACATTACTTATCCTTAAATACTATAGATTAAGACTATCATTGTTCCTAGTATGGTGATTTTGTCGTTCACAAAACATACCGATATCATTACAAAGCTGTGGAGAGGCTAGACCATGTATACATTTAAACATTTGTGTGGCAAGAAAATAGTCTTTTCTTTCATTAATGTCTTGCCAAGTTAATATTTTTTGAAAGTGTTGAAAGAAACATTTAGGTCAAAGTTGCCAGTCATATAACGTGCGGCTCTTTGTAGTTTAGTTTTATGTTTATCTGCACTGTTGGCCCAGACAGAAATACCATAATCGATGCAGGGTTGTCTTGTAAATTTATAAAGAGTGTTCAGTGAAGAAGAACTAAGATATTTCCTCAGTTTTCCAAGAGAACAAATCTTGTATCCAATAGATTTACATAGGTTATTTACATGAATATTCCATTTTAAATTTTCATGAATTTCAACGCCTTAGTATCGTATGGACTTGACGTGCTCATTTTCATTTCCATCAATATATATTTTCAGAATGTCATGAGAACGCGTGTGCAGTAATATACTCTTTGTTTTGTCAACATTAATCCTTAATTGGTTTTGTTTGTACCAATCATTAATAGAATCAATATTTGATTGAAGTCTAGAGGTTATTGTCTGCACATCTTTCCCTATTTCGAATAAAATAACATCATCAGCATTGTTATAACACCAGATTTGATTGATTGTGATATATCATTGGTAAAAAGTAAAAAATATGATCGGGGCAAGTACTTCTCCTTGTGGTACCCCTACTGACAGTTCCTTTTGTGTAGAAAGTTTACCTTGTGAGAATACAACTTGTTTTCTTTCCTTCAGATAACTTGAAAACCATCTTAGCATGTTTTCAGCAATACCATATTGCTGCATTTTGAAAAGTAGAATATCATGGTCTACACTATCGAAACATTTCAATATATCTAAGAAACATGCCCCAACTTTTTCTTTTTCATTAAAGGTAAAGACCAGTTATGGTCATGCGATTGCATTGTGAAAGAAACGTTGTGGAATCGATCAGAAAAGGTTGATCATCTAGCATCTAGCATCTGCAAGGTTCTGGAATCATCAAAATGATAAGAAATTTGGCCCATTCTTCGTAAAGTTACAAGCACTATACACAGAAAGATGTATATGGGACTACCCTATATCTCTCACAGACCATGAGAGAAACAAATTTACCAAATATATGAATTAGTAGGCGGTTTCCCGGCAAATTTTTTATCATCATGTATTAGTCAAAACATATTCTTTCACATGATTGGTAATGAGAGCTTCCATTTCATTTTTTAAAATTGGGGCGTTTCCAATACTGGTCTTTACCTTTAAATGCATCAAGAAATTCATCGACAACTCTATGCGAAAAAGTTGTCGTTGAATGTTTCGGTAGGAAAGCATGTTGTTCAATATGGATAAGATTGTGTAATAAGAGATAACGTAGCAGTTGTTTCTGGATTTCTTTTTTAAATATTATTTTAGGGATATGGCTTACAGCAGAGATGGGACGGTAGGGTGTTTTTCATTCATTGAACCTTTTCCCTTATATATTGGAGTTGTCCTAGCCAATTTCCAGTCTTCTGGTACATCTCCACATTGTATGCTTCAATTTAATACTGTTAATGATTCATATATAATATGGTGCTGCTATTTGAAGTAACCTTGTATCAAATCCTAGTACATCAGTATTACTATTTTTTTATCTAAAAGAAGCAAATATTTAAGTATTTTCTCCTTTTTCAGAGACTCTATTTTGAATTCATACATATATGCTGGGTTTTTCCATTTAATAGACTTACTTTGAGGAAATGGTTGTGAAATATTATTACCAACATTAACACAGAAATCATTCATTTTATCACTGTCTATACAACAAAATGATGAACTATCATTTTTAGTCATGCCTGTAACCTGTTGCATTTCTTTCCATAATTTCTTACCGTTATTACTATATTTCTTAGACACATCATTGAAATAAGCCTTTTTTCTTTCATTTCTTAATCTGTTTACATAATTCTTACACTTCACATATTCACAATGATCATCATGAGATTTCGTTGAGTCAGCTTTACTCTTCAATTGATCTCGTTTATACATGAGCTGAATAATGTCATTCGTAATCCAAGGGCAATGTCGATCTTTTACCCGTACTTCTTTAAAAGGTGCATAACCATCACTTATTTTCAAGAAAGTTTCTTTCCAGGATTTCCATGCCAAAGTTAGAGGCTGAGAATTTTCATTAGACAATTCAAGAATATTATTGGTTTTAATAGCTTCAAGGAATCGGGCTTCGTCGAATTGCTTGAAATCCCGAGACCGTCTCACTCTATGAATTTCTTTTGTATTCTTTAAATCAATGACAGTATGTACGAGATAGTGATCACTCAATGATATACGTCAATTAAAATATGTTTTACAGGTATTGTGCTCAAAATGTGATCAATACAAGTTGCTGATTTTGTAGTAACTGTCGTGGGTTTGGTGACCAATTGGGTTAATAGAAATAAATTCTCCAAGCAATGCACAGGATTATCATGAAGAGTTTCATTAAGTTTGTAATCGACATTGAAATCCCAGAGTATAAGTAATTTCATACTGCCATTTGCCTTCTCAAAATTTTCTGTGATCTTCTCAAAATATTTGTATCAGGAGGTCTATAAATACAACAAACAAGTAACTTTGCTATTTTCAGCCCTTGAATTTCAAGCCAGATTAGTTCAAGGGAATTGTCATAAAGATCACTTCTCTCAATGCATGATAAGGTGCTTTTTACATACGCCACCACCTTGGCGACCATCATTTCTATCTCGCCGATAGAGGGAGTACCCATTTATTTTTCCAATTCCACTAGCAATAAAATTATTGACCAGGTCTCAGATTGACATAATATATCAAAGTTCATAGTTCTAAGTGGTGACAGTCACCGTATAATCGTCATGCTCTCTGTTACCCCCCCCCCCCTCTCGAAAAAGTAACATTATCTGTGCATGGTCATCATGAAAGTACAGACCTACATGACCTGAACAAGGTGTTGACTTTTTTTTCTGACTAAGAGGGTAACGAAATCGGGAGCGGGGGGGGGGGGGGGGGGGGGGGTCGTGCAGTGACTATAGGGGTTTTGCCCCCATTGCCCCTTGATACTGAATGTACATAACTGGTATTCTTACATGAGCCTTAAAACTGACAGTATACATCTTTATTTTTTGCATAAATATGCCTATTTATTAGCTTGTATATTTATATATTTATTTTACGATTGTTCATTTATTTATTTATGAATTTGTGTATCTATTTGCTTAAATAATATTTATTCATTTATTAATTTTTTGTATATATTCATTCATTCTTTCATTTGTTTAAATTTATTTATCCACTTTTTTCATTCTTTCATTCATTCGTTTATTTATTTGTTTGTTACCTTTGTAATGTAATAGCTGGTGTGTACAACGACGAGCAGAGTGTTGAATGGGACCACGGTTTTCTGCGGCGTGTGGTGGCCGGGCTCGAGAGGACTTTCAGAGCAAAGGTAGACTGTGAGATCCACTGCGCTGTCCTTGTTATCAGGTATATTTAATTCTACTATCATGGTGTTTGGTCGTTTGATGCTCCTTGCGTTAGCATAATTTAACGTGATATTTTGAAAGAATCTATAGCTCTAGAAGAACTCCGAAATTAAAGGTAATATAAAGTTTTGGGAAATTCTGAAAATTGGGTGGATAGAGATTCTTTACAATTTTGATATATTTCGATGCCCCCTGTGGTTGCATTATAAGCACTAGAAAATTTAGCCTCTAAAACATTTTTGCTTTTGAGAAAAATTGAATATAAAATTTACCGGTGCTCCCGATAAATTTTGATAAATTTCCAATAGCGCCTATATTATACGGCCGTACACTGGTAGCTGCGACCATGAACATCTCAGAATATGTAGTTTTTATAATTTCCAAACGGGAATAGCTAATCGGTCGATTTTGATCAAGAAACATTGTTTTATACCTTGATTAAAACTTGACCTTGAGAGGGAGCTATACAACATAAAGAGTTTATTATTTACAATTTCATAACTTTAGACTCGATTTCACCCGCGACAACGATCACTGAATATTGTAGGATCGCATATGCTTCAAATATGTTCATTTGAAACGAATTCATTACCCCATACCAAAACTTTTTATTCGAATATGTGACTGGGTTCGTATAACGCGGGGGGGGGGGGGGGCGGCGCTTGAGCATGAATGTGTGGATCATGCATCCCTTGTTTTATTATGGTAGTTGTAGAAAATAAGTTCTTTCTTCACAATCAGAATTACCTGTAATAAAAAAAACTTTGCTTGCTCCGCTGCAAGCTTGTTCATATCTATGTCATAGCTGACGCTGTTGCTGACGACTTGAAGTTGAAGTTGAACTTTATTAGAACACCTTCTGGCCTCGTGTGGGCAAATAAAGGCTTAATAGAATAAACAAATGAAAAAATATTAATACAAATCTACATTTAATAATAATAATAATAATTATAATTATTATTATTAACAAGATGTATTACATCGTTACTTATTAGTTGGTAAACACTTAAAAAAAAAAATCTACACTGTTGGTCATTATGGTGGAATAATTATTTTTACCCTAATGATTTTGACCATAACTTATTCCTCTGTGTGGCCATTCCTTGAACTATAATGCATGGCCCTACAAAAGTTCCTGTTTGGGACCGTAGGAAAATGCATTGAATTATTGATAATTTATTGCATTTTCTTTGTATTTTTTTGTATTTTGTGGGAGCTGCCCCGTACCGTAGCCCCCGCTGCGTACACTACAGTCATGATTTAGTGGCTAAGCAATGGCCTCGTAACTGTGAGGCCCCAGGATCAAAACCGTGTCAATGTGCCATTATTAGTGCCCTTTTGTGAGGCATTAAACCTCTTTACTGTCAGTTATGACTTAAGGACGTAGGTCTCCCAGTTGATTAACATAGTTGACACACATGCTTTAGCAGTCACCCAAAACAAACCCTAGCAAACTATTGTTCAATAAAACCTGAGAATGTATACTATTATCTAGATCTATTAGGAATAAATCATTGTCAAAATGAGGGACGAAAAAAACAATTAATAAGAAGGTGAGGTACCTTTAAATATGTTAATATAAATAATTCATATTCATAAGATTTTGTTACCATGCCAACTTAGTTTCAGTCGGTTATAACATGGCGAATATTCTTGTTTTGTACTTGCCCAACAAAGCTAAATTCACAATATCGAACCGGGCTATGTGCAGTAGTACCAGATCAATGACACTGTGCAATACAACAGGAAATTTAGAAATGCTTTGCATCTTTATTGCTTCCTTCTTCCTATTTTGTTTTGAACACAAAGTGCTTTGAACCTGAGTCTTCGAGCCACAGACCTGACTGAACTCATTGAGCAGATCAAGTCTATGACAGGTATGATTACATCACTACTGAACAGTGGCGTAACAAGGGGAAGAAGGGATAGCGGTAGGGAGGGACAGAGAGAGAGAGAGAGACACACACACACACAAACACACACAGAGACAGAACTTCAAGGGACAGAAAGAGATAGAGTGCAGGCGCGTACGCAGGGGGGGGGGGGGGGGGGGTGTTAGGGGGGTTGTTTGGTATTTTTATGTGTATAAACCCCCCTAAAAAAACCCAACCCCCCCCCTTTGTTTTTGTTTTTTTTTTAATAAAAAAAATAAAAAAATTCCCATGGCTGACCTAAAAAAGGTGGCCTAACCCCCCCCCCCCCCAACGGAGCAAAATGTCAAATTTTCAAATTTCGAGACAAAAAAAAAAAAAAAATGTCCTCTTACTGGGTCGCTGGGAACACGAATATGCGTACCCTAGATAACTCTGAGTGGGGAGGGGGGGGGGGGAGGGGGCAGTATAGTGGTGTGACCTAACACCGTACTAACACTAAAAATGCTTAAAGAGGAGAGCAATACCCAGCGTATAAAGTGCGTTGCACTGCGTAGATAGGACTTCTATCTTCAGTGAAAGTGCGTTGCACTGTGTAAATAGTAGCCTATCTACACATTGTAACGAACTTTTTGCTTCTCCCAGCAATGATGGGCAAAATATCTTTCATCACGTGATTTACTTTTGACCAATTGTAGAGCAAGATTCTTAGTAGGCCTATGTGGAATATAATTTAAAATATTTAAAAACATAGGCCGTCATGATAGCGATTTGTACATTCATTTCCATTGGTCTTCCACATATTTGGCTAAATGTGCTCAAGCCCCTATCGACAATTCAAAATTAGATAAAAAAAGAAAGAAAAAAGGACGACCAAACTACAAAAAACCTCCCTTTAGATGTCGTGGTATAGTGGTCCATTCACTTGACCAAGGGTTGAGGGTTCGATTCTCGTCTTTTGTCTAGACATTAATGGGTATCTGGTAGGGTAATGATAATTGCAGCGCCCGCAGGAAGAGCACACAGTAGTAATTTTCTAATACCTGAATATGTGTGTATGATTACGAAAATCAACTTTCCTACCATACTTTGGTATTTTTGCGCAATAATTTTGGCGTTTGCGAAATAAATATCCTTCTAAAGTAGACATTCCGTGACCGAACTTCAGTTCTTTTGGTTTTGTGATATTACTCAATGAATCCATCTCATATGCTTGGCAGGCCATCCACCGATCGTTATCATCACTCATCGGAGACACCATGAGGTACGGGAGGAGGTGATCACTGCTTTCCGAACCGGTCTGCAGCAGCAACGCATCGACTACGTCTACGAGCTCGAGAACTACACCACGGACGATCACGGGTACGATGCCGAGAAGCATCTCGTCCTGCTCGAAGCCCTCTATCAATGCGCCATCGTTGGCGACAAGGTTATGAAGTACAAGGAGAGCAACCAGGGTTGCACTATTCTGTAATCTGTAGGTGACCATTGAAGCCTATCCCTGGGCACCGTAATACAAAGCTTACCAATATTGATCATAACTACGATTGATTCTTGCATTTTATTGCACATAGTGATCAATGACTCGGAAATCAATCACACCAACGTTTCATTTAGTTGTTTTGAGAATAATTCCTGCTGGCATTAACAGGGAGCTTATTATCAAAGCAATACCATGCAGGTGAATTGATGGGTGAGGGGGTCACAGGTGGGAAATTAAATAAAATGAAATGCTAATTAATCATGTACTATAATCCTATGTTTGGATTTTAATTAATACAATTTGAATTGAATTGATTTGATTTGAATTGAATTGAATTGAATTGATTTGATTTGAATTGAATTGAATTGAATTGTACATGTATCCTGACTATTTCCTTATAGAAAGAAGAATTTCCATTAAAAATTATGTGCAGGCGCATCAATGGGTAGGGAAGGGGAGGGGGCGATTATTACAGTTAAATTTGTGAACGTGACCTTTTGTAAATATCGATGTGTTTCATAAAGTCTTTGTTTAATTTTGTGTGTAATGTGTATATTATTGCAAATTAGCTGAATTGATATCGTGCATGATGCGAGATTATTCATTATATTAATATTGTTATCTCGGTCTTTTCAGAGTATACGGTGTTTTTTCCTTTCATTTTACTATAAATAACAATTTTTGTTGTAAATATTTTATAGCAACTACTTCATTGTTCAACAAGAGAACTTGCTTCTGCACATGATACCCCTGTAACAACCAGGCACGTTGCCAGAGTTCGATGTTGTTTTTTTTTTTGGGGGGGGGGGGGCATATACATGTAATCGATCGAGGTAAAAAAAAAAAGGGGGTCTAAAAATTTCAACCGATCTTGGAAATTTTAGGGGGCACGTGCCCCCCCCCCCCCCGTGGCTACGTGCCTGGTAACAACTAGACACGGTTTGTATGGAAGCCTTCTTACACTGCAAAATCAAGGGTGTTAAATTCAACACCATGAGTGTTAATTTTAACAGTTTCCCGGTCTATATCGAAAAACACTAGCTGGTGTTATTTAACACCAGGGTTTGGAATTAAACAATTCGATTCCACTCTTGGTGTTGAAGTAATTTCGACTTTGGTGTTAAAGTTCAATTCTAGTTTTGGTGTTAACAAATCCAACACTATTTTTTTCAACACCATTGGTGTGTAGAATTTAATCCTGATATTTTTGTTAAAATCAATACCAATGATTTAACACTCAATTCAAAGAATCCTGCGATGTCTGTTGGATTTAGTTGTAACAATTTTCTAACTTTTCTGTCTGCAGAACAAATTTTCACACTTAACGGCATGATTGCGCTGATGAAATAGGATATTCAGACCTTGACTAAAAATTCCATAACCACGATATCCCGAAGAGATTCTTGACAGCTATAGCTCGCGCATGCGCATGCACGATACGACGTCATATCATTATGACAACTGTCGTCCAATGATTTTGCTCGAATCCACTAACTTATGCGCATGCGCAAGTTTAACACCATAACACCAAGACTCGGAACATCATCCTGTAATGAAATATTTCGACACTCTGTTGGTGTTGAACGGACGTGAACGGACGTGAAATTAACACCAAGGGTGTTGGTTTTTTCTATTCCGTGCTGGTGTTAGAAATTTAACACGCTGGTTATTGCAGTGTAGAAATGCATAATAGGCAATTGTGACATTAGGGGGTTTTCGTTTGTCACGTTGACATAGTCGACGTCTAATATGTGACGTCATTTCCGCGATCTGCGCATGCGTCGGGTCGTCTGGCGTCGTCAGGCCACATTTGCGAACCCGTTCATCGATGATTTGAGGTTCGTCAGAAAACTAGTGACCCGTCGTCAGAATGACGTCATCTTGCTACATCGCAGCGTAAATCAGAAAGTAAAAACAGAAAGAGAAATTGATAGAATGATTAAAAAACAAAGAATAACATAAAGAAAGACAGAAAAAAAAGTGTGATAGAATGATAAAAACAAAGAATAACATAAGAGAAGATGATAGAAGGAAAAAAACAAAGAATAACATAAGGAAAGACAGAAAGAAAAGGTGAAAGAAGGAAAAAACAAAGAATAACATAAGGAAAGACAGAAAGAGAAGGTGACAGAAGGAAAAAACAAAGAATAACATTAGAGAAGATGAAAGAAGGAAGAAACGAAAAATAACATAAGGAAAGACAGAAAGAGAAGATGAAAGAAGGAAAAACAAAGAATAACATAAGGAAAGACAGAAAGAGAAGGTGAAAGAAGGAAAAAACAAAGAATAACATAAGGAAAGACAGAAAGAGAAGGTGAAAGAAGGAAAAAAACAAAGAATAACATAAGGAAAGACAGAAAGAGAAGGTGAAGAAGGGAAAAAAAAACAAAGAATAACATAAGGAAAGACTGAAGAGAAAGTGAAAGAAGGAAAAAACAAAGAATAACATAAGGAAAGACAGAAAGAGAAGGTGAAAGAAGGAAAAAACAAAGAATAACATAAGGAAAGACAGAAAGAGAAGGTGAAAGAAGGAAAAAACAAAGAATAACATAAGGAAAGACAGAAAGAGAAGGTGAAAGAAGGGAAAAAACAAAGAATAACATAAGGAAAGACTGAAGAGAAAGTGAAAGAAGGAAAAAACAAAGAATAACATAAGGAAAGACAGAAAGAGAAGGTGAAAGAAGGAAAAAACAAAGAATAACATAAGGAAAGACTGAAGGGAAAGTGAAAGAAGGAAAAAACAAAGAATAACATAAGGAAAGACAGAAAGAGAAGGTGAAAGAAGGAAAAATCAAAGAATAACGTAAGGAAATACAAAAAGAGAAAGTGATAGAATGATAAAAACAAAGAATAACTTAAGAGAAGATGATAGAAGGAAAAAACGAAGAATAACATAAGGAAAGACAGAAAGAGAAGGTGAAAGAAGGGAAAAAACAAAGAATAACATAAGGAAAGACTGAAGAGAAAGTGAAAGAAGGAAAAAACAAAGAATAACATAAGGAAAGACAGAAAGAGAAGGTGACAGAAGGAAAAAACAAAGAATAACATTAGAGAAGATGAAAGAAGGAAGAAACGAAAAATAACATAAGGAAAGACAGAAAGAGAAGATGAAAGAAGGAAAAACAAAGAATAACATAAGGAAAGACAGAAAGAGAAGGTGAAAGAAGGAAAAAAACAAAGAATAACATAAGGAAAGACAGAAAGAGAAGGTGAAAGAAGGAAAAAAACAAAGAATAACATAAGGAAAGATAGAAAGAGAAGGTGAAAGAAGGGAAAAAACAAAGAATAACATAAGGAAAGACTGAAGAGAAAGTGAAAGAAGGAAAAAACAAAGAATAACATAAGGAAAGACAGAAAGAGAAGGTGAAAGAAGGAAAAAAACAAAGAATAACATAAGGAAAGACAGAAAGAGAAGGTGAAAGAAGGTAAAAACAAAGAATAACATAAGGAAAGACAGAAAGAGAAGGTGAAAGAAGGGAAAAAACAAAGAATAACATAAGGAAAGACTGAAGAGAGAGTGAAAGAAGGAAAAAACAAAGAATAACATAAGGAAAGACAGAAAGAGAAGGTGAAAGAAGGAAAAAACAAAGAATAACATAAGGAAAGACAGAAAGAGAAGGTGAAAGAAGGAAAAAATAAAGAATAACATAAGGAAAGACTGAAGGGAAAGTGAAAGAAGGAAGAAACAAAGAATAACATAAGGAAAGACAGAAAGAGAAGGTGAAAGAAGGAAAAATCAAAGAATAACGTAAGGAAATACAAAAAGAGAAAGTGATAGAATGATAAAAACAAAGAATAACTTAAGAGAAGATGATAGAAGGAAGAAACAAAGAATAATATGAGGAAAGATAGAAAGAAAAATGATAGAATGATAACAACAACAATAACATTAGGAAAGACAGAAAGAGAAAATGATAAAGAATAGACAATGGAAAGATAGAAGAGAAGATGGAAGAAGGAAAAACAAAGAATATCATAAGAAAAATAGAGAGAGTATAATAGAATAATAAACGAAGAACAAAATAAGAAGTGAAAGAAGGAGAAAATGAATAAGCGCGTGCGGGGCCATTACGTCATCGTGTAGAGAACGTGTGTCAACTTAAAACGAAAAGGGTTATAAGGTAGTGAACAGGACGGGTGTCTGACGTCAATTTGCATCGTTAGAGGACGTGAACGCCGTCCTCGTCCACACAAACGAAAAGCCCCTATTATTTCGAGGAAGACGTCCAGATGTAATTGTATGTATCTACATCATCGGTGAGGAATAACGAGACAAGTAAATGTGAAGATAATAATTTTTCTACATCAAAATAATTGTACTTTCACCGTCATGATTATGATAAAAAAGTGCATCCCTTTATTCTTATCGCTTGTGTGTCATGCACAGATTTAAATTAAGGAAGGAGTCATAATTAAGGCCTCTTGGAAATAACTCCTTGAATTCAGGCATTTCAATGGTATTTTGTAATGTAGGTGAATATCTTTTGTGTTGTTGTTGTTGACAATAAGCATCACTGATTATAGCCTTACAGTATAAAATGTATTTACTCTTTCATTTTTACTATAGTCCAATTGGTAATATAAAAAAACGCTTACTAAAGTCCCTTCTTTACTCCAAGTCGTAACATTGTATTTCTATCAGTATCCCGATGTTGTAAGGCTCTGTAAATATTCCAGTACTTAGTTGACGATATTTATGCTAAAGTAATCCATGTACATTTTTACGGTACTCACTGGCTTCAATCATCAAAGGAAACCTTTGATTTCTAGGGATGCGAGTTTCGGATCATGGCTGTAAAGCATATTCACAAAGAGGGCAGCAGATAGAGGACTTCAATGATCTAGCTCCATAGGCATAATAATGAGCGGACTCTATCCACACAGGCAGGGGGAGAGCTGCAAAAAAACAAAAAAACTCTGAAGTGATCTGAAAGTGAAGGAAATCCCTTCTTGTTACTTGTTTGTAGTTGATTTCATTCAATCAAAACATTAAAGTACTTATTTTGTAAGATGATGTTTTTGCCTGATTTCTCATAGCTAAAGTTGGTGTAAATAGGTCCCTTTAGATAAGTAGATCACGTTTCTTTTGTTTTCATTTGTTTTTCTTCGTGGAAACATTACCCCTAGGGGGAAATATAACTCCCTTCGGTGGTCCATTTAAAAAACACACACACACACACCTACAACCTACATGCTTATAACATGCGGACGGGGTTGGCTAACCGTTGGATGGGTGTCAATACACTCCCTATAATTAATTACCATGAGTATACTGTTCTGAAATCGTTTCTTTTTAATTCAATATTGCTCATTTGTAATATTTCCTGCGTAAAGTATTACTTTTCAAATGTAATTATGTTTTCCTTGGTTTTTATTTTTGTTTGTATATTTTTCAAACGTTTTTTCTCCTGTTACCGTTTGTTATTGTTTTTCGTTTGCTTGTATTATTATTATATATATAATTCGTATAGGCGGCTAGGCCTACATCATTTCTGCAAGCCCCCGAAAAAGAACCCTTCAGACAGCAATAAGAAATAAAAGAAATGAAATGAAATATCTAAAAGTGGATTGGAATAGCCCGTTTGAGTTGTCTTAAGTGTTCTTGTTCTTGAGTTGGTGAATATTTTGAGTGAAGTTTAATGAATGATTGCAAGTAACTACACTATTTTCTTTGTCGTTGTGTTGCACAGCGATGTGATCCTAGGCCCAAGGAGATACAAGCTAATATTTTAATAGCTCCTTGGTAGGCCTAATCCGAAGAAAATCCATTCACGCAGCGATCGTAATTTGACCCAACAAAAGGCATAGGCGCTCGCTCTCGCGTCTGTCGCGTGTCCGCCACGCGAGCTTCATGCATATTCAATAAGAAAGCGAGAGTGTTCTAGTTCTCAGTCGAGTCGTCCACGTACGTATATCGTGTATGTATACTATAGTACGGGAATTATTTTACATTAACCGAGTGAGGAACAAAGACTAATAACGTCTACGACAGCTGTGATATTCTTTAGTAGTGTAACCGCTGGCATATATGCGGGTACGTAGATATACATTTTGTATTTGCTTTAAAAATCGATTAGACGTGTACACGTTAATTACATGCTGGACATGTTTTAACATCGAGAAGACAAGCACTTGCAATTTCAGAGCAAACACAAATCTTGGAGTGGATCTTAAGGAGCATTTTGAGCAGTGAAGACCGGTGAGTTTATGATTTCTTGCATGCCTGGTGATGATGCGACGGTGATGCTGCAGTGAATAGATACCAGATGATGAGTCACACTCGACAGACTTTAATCATGTCGAATTCGTGACCCATGCATATGGCCTTGTCTTTCTAGGTTTAGACCCAGCTAAAGTTAAATCCTTTAATCACATTTGAATTAATTATAGAGCGCGTAGATATCAAGATGACGATAGATATATTATTCATAGAGGTAGGCTAGATAAATGTAGTTTAGGTCTCGATTTCAGGCTTCAACTTCAAGTATGAATGATGAAGACTTCCTCCGACCTCGCACAATTCACAACACTACGCCATGTCATGGCCTACTTTGTCCTGGTATTATGGATATTCATGTGTAGATTTAGGGTCTAGTTAATTGTCTAGCTTCTAATTTTAGATTAAACCAAGTCTACTAACATTTGAAGAACAAAAATGAAGACTCTACTCTCTAGATACCTGTAAACGGTAGGCTAATCCATTTTTTTTCTTTTACAGATCTAGATCTAGTATAGGCCTAGAGGTCTAGAGTAATACTAACAGTTCTATCATAAACATGAAAATGTTAGAGGTCTAACAATACATCTAGTCCCTTGATCTAGCTAGAATCTAATGTTTGATATAACCTAGATTTAGTTCAAATGAACTTTGAATAATAACTTGACATACATTTTGTTAACGGTCTTCGATTGTACACAGGTCTGTCAATGACAATGTCTACCCAAAAGAGTTCGACTCTCACCAATAGGCCTACAGCATGAGGGTGACGCCTACAGCCAGGTGCATCCTAGCTTCTTTTCAAGAATTTTCGAAAATTAGGAAAGATTTTTCAAATCTTATGGCGTCATTTTCAACACAAAAATGCTTTATTTCATTGGTTCATGCATGAACAGATGTGCATACACTAAAGTTGCAGTTTATTTTGGCCTAAATGTCAACCTGAGCAGTTGTACATAAATGTAAGCTTTCTTTTTCTCTTTTCTCTTTGCTAGCCTAAAATTACCCCCCCCCCCACATCTCCTTCCCCTTTACTTCAAAATAATTCGCCTTCTTCTTCCTTCATGCAAACGGATTACATTTATTACATTTACATAATTCTCCTAATTTTCGAAAAATCTTGTTACTTGTTCACATGTAGACCTAGACCCTTGCATACATGTAGCTCCACATCGTTATTTCACAGACAATATCTGAACATGATTGTTGATGTACCTGCCATTATCTTTGTTGATGGATTGCAAAGCCTTCCAGACACGGGAAACACTTCCTTCCCATCGGAAGGCCTTTAAATGCATTGTTTAACAATGCTTCCATTTTTACAAATCTGAGATCCCAGCCGTGGCCCTACTTGTTCTCAGTGTTTGTGATAATCATGGTGTAATATTGAAGCCCTAAAAAACAATTGCACTTCAGAATGATCATGAAGTGCCTGAAAAAATACCGGTTTTACCATACTCATTTCCCCCCATTAGACTGAACTGCTATAGAACCGTTGGGAAAACTGCTTTTGAAATTTCGAATTCCAATCTTAAATATCTTGATAATCAGACAGGCGATCGGCTTGTAACAGTCAAGGGATTCCTGACTGACTTATGATTGCAGCATTAGCTAAATCCAGGATTTGGTTTCAGAATCTGAGACAAAGATACCCAATACCACCAGGTTATCAAGTCTAGTAGTAGAATAAAATAAATTATATAAATGTAATTTCCTTTCTCATCACGTGTTCATTGTACTTGAAAAAAAAGTATAAAAGAATTATATTGAAAGAAGAGGGATATAGAGGAGGACAGAGGGAGTAATAGAGAGAGAGAGAGAGAGAGAGAGAGAGGGGGGGGGGGGGTGGTGGTGAAAGGGAGAGAGAATAAGGGGGGGGGGGTTTAAATCCATCCTCTATCAACGAATTGTAAAGGAAACGATCCTTTATATCGACTTTTTTCCTGATCAATAAAACGCCTTGTTTATAAATAGAACACCGCTCGCAGTACATGTTAAACATCATCAATTTACTTAAATGTATATTTTTCGAGTAGTTCATGAAATGAAGATACATATTACTGAGTAGAACTATCGAGAATCAACAACCGACCCACATTTTGGAATTCACTTGAACCTACAGTACTCTAAAAATGCTTCTATACATCGTCTACATTTAGACTTCACTTGAAACAATATCAAGTGAGTTAATGTTGTAAATGCTATTTGTATATTGATTTGAGTATTTTTTTGTGATATTCACATGACATGATGTAGCTTGTATAACCCGAAATGGTTTTCATTGATGTTGTAGTTCGTGATTTGTTTTCTCTTTCCCTTCCTTACTATTCTTCTCTCTTAGTATCCTCTCCAATTTGTTTCTACCTATCTATCTTTTTTTCTTACTATAATCTTAAAGATAAACTTTAGTACTGGTAAAAAAAAGAAAATTAATTCTCACAGAATCAAACAAAACTTACACTGAATGTTCAAGATTACAAATAAATGACATGTGCCAAACAATTTTGGAAGAAAATGTATACTGGCTGAGTAATGAGCATAGAAAGACAAGGAAATCAAGGTAGTACTAGCCCCGACATCATGTGTGTTGTCCCATATATAGCTTTCTGTGTTAGTTTACCAAGACTCGGTCAAATTTATTATGATTTTGATGACTCCAGAACCTTGCAGTGCACACCAATACTTACATGCTACATGATCAACTGTTTCTGATCCTTTCAACACCATTTCTTTCACAATGCAATCGCATTACCAGTACTAAAGTTTATCTTTAACTGGACCCCTTTTTAACTTTTTAATTGCACATCATCCTCATCTCGCTCCCTTCTTATTCTTTCTTTCGTCACACGTTCTTGTATATTTGTAAGTAAGTCTTTTTAGTTTCACAAGCTTCGCTTCTCTTATGGGTCCCCCACACCCTCTCTTCAGCAAGAAACAAACAAGACTATTTGTTTCTCTTTAATCATTAATGATACAGGCTATATTGTGTATAATCTGTGACATTTATACTTGTGTTTTCAATTGTATAATTGTTTTTCACTTATTGTGTTAAATTGTTTGAGTCGGTGGAAATAAATAAATAAAATTGAAACTGGAACTGTATACCTGGACTCAATTTTTTTCTGGTATCAAACCATTGGTAACGAAACAAATTTAAGTTTAGTTTTAACCAAAGGAGATGACTGAAGTATACCTTATCCCAATCTACACCATGAGCCCCCTCCTTTGTGCTGATAACTGATGCTCTTTAAAAGAAGTCACTGTGCACGTTGTTTCAGAGAAAATATGCAATGAAGATCAACGAGAGGCGTTAACAAACCACTGCTTTGCCTTTCGTTTTTCCCTCTATTATTATTATCATATTTATCACTAACCTATCCTGGGTTATTTGCCCCCCCCCCCTCTCTCTCTCCCTCTCCCTCAAACCGTTGGCATTTAAAAAACAGATACTCGAAGCATACAGTAAGCCCTTTACAACAATGAATATTCATGAAGGGGGAGGAATGAGGAACAGAAGGCCTGTTTATTGTCGGAGCAAGAGGTATTATTTGACCTCTAGGCATTGTTTTAAAAAGTGAAGCCCCCCCCCCCCTAACATAAGGAAATATCAGTTAAATGGTATATTTTTTTTTCTCACTCGCTTTGCTCACTCACGGATAGAATATATTACTTGTGGTCCTCAAAGGGCTAGAATGTGATGCCGAAACAGATAGCAACAGTGATTCATAATAAATATGAACATGTATATCATTCAATATCCTTCACCAAATAAAAAAAGCCCCGCCGCAAATATAATCATGTTACTAGTAATTGAAAATATTACCCAATTTACGTATGTTATAATGACATTACAATATTCATTTCTCATGCATAGAATAAATTTTAGTATAGATATTTTATGATTATATTGATCAGGAACGACAGGAGTTTGATAGACGGAGTTTGTTCACCTGGTATAAAAACAATCATCAACTGCAATTTGAATATAATCTTTTTCTGTCTGTAAATATTAGTCAAACGATAAAATTCTCATTTATGAACTTTACAGGGTTCAAGTCGCTACAATTCCGCCGTATTAATTTACTACTTCGCGTAGTTTGACATTATTTCGGTCATAATACATTTTGAAATGAAAACTGTATTGAAATTTTGTTGAAGGTATAACAAGAGAAGACCCCCCCCCCCCAAAAAAAAGGAGGGGATTGGAATGATATGGGAGTGAGATAGAGAGAGAGAGAGAGAGAGAGAGAGAGGGGTGGATGTAAGGGTGTGGAAAGGGTAGGAGGGAGGGAAAGAGAGACAGAGAGAGAAAGGAGAGACATAAGGGAGGGAGAGAGAAGGGAGAGCGAGAGAGAGAGAGAGAGAGAGAATGAGAGAGAGAGAGAGAGAGAGATGAGGGGGGGGGGGGGGAGGAGCTGAGAGAGCTGAGGCGATTTGCGTAAACAACCTTTGTCGGTTTATGGCCTGAAATCTTATCCAAGGTTTATCGTTGTCCTTTCTTTTCTTTTCTTCCTTTCTTCTGAAGACCACTCGTTATTTACATAGAAAGTAAATCCGATTTAGACGTTTGAAGGAAATCGGTGGAGCCACCTCACTATGATAGAAATTCCGCAACAGATTGCTATATCCCCATTCTTCCAATAAAAGACGAGCCTGGTAAAAGTAGTCTCCTTCTATTTAATCTTTTTTAATAGGCATATTAGACGGGATTTCTGTCTACAATGACTTAAGTTCCCTCAATCGACTGGTACGTTCAGGTCCGAAATGGTTTCTACTCTGTTCCTCCTGGCCCCTCCCCTCGCACCTCTATTCTTTATACTGCCTACACATCGGGTCCTCCCTCCGCTTCAAAAGTGACATAGCCTTGAAAAAAATATTAAAAAATAGAAAAAAAAAGGATATTATCAAACCCGGCTCGCTCGGCATTGAAGTAAAGGAGAGCTAGAGCACGAGTGACTAAAATCGGACGTCATTGCGTTTTT